ATGGCTGAGATTCAAATGGTTCTAAGTTGCAGATTGCCGTCATGGAATTGGCTGCAAGTTAGCTGCTCACTATATTCATAGCGCGGGCAGACTAAGTCAATTTTGTGTGATGTCAGCACCGCTTCGACCCCTGCTGATCGTTCGACAAGAGTGCCCAGGAACAGCGAATATATCATGGGACACACAGAGTCTGTGCCCGTTCCCAGCATCCGGCAGGGAGCACACAGTTGACCGCAGATAGTACCTGATCATGGGCACTGCTGTCGAGCGATCGGCAGAGGTCACGGACAGTCGGCTCACCCGAGGCGTCGGCCGTGAGAGAACGCGCGCTGGGAGGTCGGCTCCCCGTGGGCGGGTATAAGAGTGGTGTCGGGTGTCGGCATCACCACACACATACCTGCACCTCACGCCGAGCTCAGTCCAACCGCAGCTCCGTCATGTCTCGAGCAGTCGTCTTCGGCCTGACGCTGGCCCTCCTGGTGGCCCTCTGCCTGGCGCAGACGGCAGACCAGGGCCTGCTCAGTGGCTTCGGCCTCGGCTACTCTGGCTACGGACGCTACGGACGGCTGGGCGGACTCGGACTGGACGGCCGCCTCAGAGGGTACGTCGGATTGTACGTGCTGGTTTTTGTCGTCCAGTTATAAGCTTGCCTGGCATAAAATACTATTTTTGCCAATCCAGCTTTGGGTCTGTCAAGTGCTTGACCTCCAGCCGAGCGCATGCGGCACATAGAATGACAACGGCTCCATTTTACTTGTTGGACTCACTTCGAAGCTGCCAAGAGCCCGAATTTCTAAATAATAAATGACTAGAGAAAGCATTACAGTTAATGAGCAGCTTAAATTGCCATCGGCTGTAGTTTCACTACGTCCAACTCACATCTAGAGATCATGTCAGAATGGCAACACGAACGTAAAACTCACTTAGGTTAAGCGGCGAAATGTAATGGACACGTACCTAGACAAAAGAAAACGTGGACTCGAGACCCAGTGCAGATGCATCCGAAAGCATGTTGACAGTGTTCTAGAGCCTTAATGGTGAAATGTAGCTCATGTTTTGCTAGTGGGTTTCATTAAGTGACTGTGTTAAGTGCTATGGAAATATGTGCTTGTGAGGTCGCTGATATGGGCGGCATTCCTGATAAGACTTTTAGGTACAAGTATTTCTAGGCCAAACTCAAAATACACCGAACAATCTACTTAACTTGCCATCTGTCAAATTGTGCATCATAATGATATTATGCGAGACATAACAAGTCAGCATATGTGTGTTCCGTCATGTTTTGTCATGTGATGCCTGTTAATGCTTGTAATGTCATTATGTGAGGCCTGTTAATGCCTGTTATGGAGTGACGTGATCCCCATATCTCATTCAAATGGACGTATTCGATGTTATGAGCTGGAGGTGAGCGTACTGAGTTCATGAGGAGTAAAGTATTACGTGGATGATGAGTAAATTATGAAAATTGGTAGATCAATAGCGTAACCATGTAATGTCGATGAGGTTTACACATAATTAGCGGTCAGTTGTTTCGTCTGAGTTGACTTTTTGGTTTCTTTAGCTCTGTCACTCTGTAATCATGGAAAACTGCTTTGTCCCCCTGTTCCATCTAGCGACACCATTCACTTATTGCATCCAGTAGATACCACCTACGAGAACCCCGGCACTGTTCTTGACTGTGCGGCTCATTGGTAGGTTCGCCGGCCCGCTGGGCGGGTACTCCAGCTCGGGCCGTAGCTACAACAACTACTGGAACGGCTACGACGGTCGCTACGGTGGTACGGCCACTTATCCGGAGAGTTACGGCAGCTACGGCGGCAACGGCTTCGGTGGCTTCTACTAGAAGCACGTTATCCGGCCCAGATTTCATCTGTTTTCTGTTGTTATTTCTTAATGTACTTTATATGCTTGTTCTCAACATCCATTTTCAACTTCTACTCAACCCAATCGACAAATTCATATTTGTTGTGTGGGTCAAGCTGACAATCGTCTACAGTGATGCGCCAATAATACGAAGCTGTAAAACTGGCTGCGATTTTTTTTATCACAGACACGTTCCGCCCTCTATAGAGGTCGCCTCCCATTCGCCTCTCACTCGGTTCAAAGACGACTCTCCCGTCCTGATTGCGAGAAGAAATGGCGTGAAAGGGTTCCTCCCTTCTTAAAGGGAAGAGTTAAAAGGTTAAGTGAGAGTTCTACATTTGTATGAGGTCTTGAACTGAAGTCGCTTTTTAAAGGTCGTTCGGTGCAGTTCATAGCCCCGCCATTCTTAAAACATAAACTCCCATAGTTTCTGAGCCACATGCCCGCGAAGATATGCAAACTATTTCGGGGAGACTGTTTCAACGTTAACCAGGCATCCATGACGCCATAATAACGTCATCCAAAACTTGCCATTCCATTGGTCACACGGATATCAAGACAAAGAAAAAGAATTGTCGTGCCGTTCATATCTGGCGTTCGTGAGCACAACTTTCAGATATAGCAGCCGTCAACTGGCTTTCAATCGGTGATGCGCAAGGTACGATGACATAATCAAACAATCACGCATTGAAGAGCATTTTTGCTAAACAGAGAAGTTGTACTGTCTGGAGCAGTCTTTTCCACTTCAAAGTATACCAATAGTTGCAAGTAAGCCTGTTTCATAATACTGATGCTTGCTTCGATATCTTTAAATGTGGAACATTCCCTTTAGGCGGTATGACTGAGAAACGGTGCAGGTTTTTTTCCCCACGGTGCTGAGTGTGATTTCCCGCGGTGCCTGCTTTTCCTGCTAGGGTAGAGGCTGGCGACGCCATACATCCTCAGCTGCTGACTGTGTCGTGAAGTATCAATGCATTCACTAGAGTAGGTGCCCCTGGACGGCTCAGCAGCTGCTCAGTCAAGGGGCAGTCATGGGGCTGGCACCGTCACGGACATCGAATGGCAGAGACAGCCGGCATTGGTCGGCATGGCAAGGTCTGTTCATCGCAGACTCCCGAGTTTCGTTCAAAGGGGGTAAAGTGCAGGATGGATCTTGCGAAACAGCACCGAGTGCACACATTTTGATCCGTCAATGACCGTTCCAGTCAGACTAATGCGACGGCACATAGTGGAAGCCTCCTCAGGTAAGATTTCTTTTACCCCCTTCTTTTACCCCTTTCAAGCGCTGATCCCACGAATTCACCTAAGCCTTGAAGGCCTTTAGTTCATGGATCGATGGCTGTAACTCGGTAGGACTAATCCATATGATTCGATCATACTGTTCGCAAGTAGCTGCACCTCAACATTGGTGCATTAATTCGGAAGAAATCCGCTATGCAAGGAGACATCGCTTTGCAAACACAAACGGCATTGCCTTGTTTTTTAGGCCTGCGAGTAGGATGAAAGAGTAAGCATACCAATGTGTCATTCCTAAACTGATCATACGAATGCGTTGGAAGTGCACGTATTCAAGGCAATGTGGCAATGAAACAACATTTCAGCACTTTACTACATAAAACAGGATGAACACGATAGGATACACCTGAAAAACATTACGGTACGTTGCTGTTTTTGGGGAGGAGAGTGAGCCGTCCCATACTGTTACTGCATGCATGTTAAATACTCACCAGGACCATGATATTGGGAAAAATGCATTCCTACATATGATGATGTATTCCGACTTTGGGAGCCCCGAGATACCTCGCTAGAGTGCAAGCATTTAGGGGAAGTGTAATGCTTTGACGTTTTTGCCGCAAAGCAAAGAATCGTGGATGCTTAAGACGAAGCTTATGAGAGAGCGGCCCACCCAAGGATGGTTTTCGTAGTCGATTGGAGGGGGTCTCAGCCAAAAAGATTGACGTCACCTTCCTCCAAAGCCCGATTTCAACCCGGATTTCGGGCACTTGAATTACAATGGCTATTCATTGTCATTTGCTTCCTCGATATCAAAGTTTAAGAAATTGTATTTCGTGGATTTAGAATCGTTTTCCTGCAGAGGAATGACTTCCCACTTCAAGTAAATGAGAGCCGCCTGTTTGTGAAAACTTATGCGAGGGTGTTATTCATCGAACAACATCTAAGTAAACCTTAGTAAGGGACCACTGGTGAATACTGCTGTCGCTGATCGTGTTGGGTAACCATCATTGTCAGATTATGCGACACATACGCTTTCTACTGTTGGGAAAAGCATGCGTTTTATCATGGCCACATTACTTTAAAAAGCTGCCACATTTTTCAGGTAATTGTTCTTCATTCTAATCCAGGCGGCATAATTTGAAAAACTTGTCAAACATTTGCGGACTGGCTTACCATATGAAGGAGTAAGCATGATAAAAACGTGTTGTACCTACAGGATGTTATCTGGTACGCAATCTACATAGTACTTATAGTGATGTGTTTAGGTGCATACTACCTAGCATTCCAATAGTTAAGCCTATTGTTCTGTACTTATTTGGCCCACTATTCCTCTTTGCTCATATGCATTGAGGGGGCTCAGAGGAGCGTGGGAGGACTCAAATCATCGTATGGGGCCTCAGACCCCCGAAAGTGTATAAAGTGGCCCAGCTCGGCCCACCACTTGTTAATGGACTGAGCCACTGGCAAGAACGGTAAATAGGAGTTTCTCAATTTTCTGTGAGCTCATCGAAGTGAAAGACACCACTTTGTGACAGGAGACAGCTGCGCTTCCCTCCCACAGAATTGTGGCGGCGCATGTGTGTGTAGCTACGCAGTACCAGTGTCTTATCATGCGTGTTTGCGGCGTGTTCGCAGTACGCCGTACGCGTGCGCATCCGTAGCGTTGATGAAATGCAAGTTTCCTTTCGTCTGTATGATTTAACACCTGCGTCGAGCCCCGCCGACACCAGTCCAGCTGCACTATGATGCAGTGATTCCGCTGCGTAGCTCTGTCTTTGTCGACATTCAACCAATAGGACACGACAAGCTCAGCAAAACAAAGGCTGACAATGAAGAGCAGATTTCTGGCCTGTATTTATACGCGCACGGCTCCGGCTGCTCAGTATGTCAGTGTGTCGGTGTGTCAGGAGTCACAATGACAACATTCTTGGTGGTCGTTCTTCTGGGTGTGGCCGCAGCCAAGCCGCCTCCGTCTCTGCTACGAAGACCACCGCCTTCCGTCCAGGATATCAAGTCTCTGGAGCCCGTGCCGTTTGACCCTGGGATGGAAGTCGCACGCACTACTCTGTCTTGTGGTGCCCATACTCTGGCTACAGGAACATACACGATCACATCACCGAACCACCCTTCCAACTACGAAAACAACTACGACTGCCTCTACAACCTGACGCCGAGTTCGGGTGCTGAAACTCTATCCATCAGCTGTTCTGCGTTCAACATTGAGTCTCACAGCTCCTGTGGATGGGATTGGCTGCGAGTGAACGGAAACAAGTTTTGTGGTACCCAAGGTCCCTCTGTCTCCAACAGCGGGGCCCTAAGCATTGACTTTCATGCCGACTATTCGGTAGTCAGGAGCGGGTTCTCCTGCACCATCACAGCTGGGCCCACGTCCTCCTCCGACTCCCTGACCTGTGGTGCCCACGCTCTGGCGGCGGGTACCTACACGATCACATCTCCTAACCACCCTTCCAACTACGAAAACAACTATAACTGCCTCTACAGCCTCACGGCGGGTTCGGGTGCTGAAACTCTATCCATCAGCTGTTCTGCGTTCAACATCGAGTCTCACAGCTCCTGTGGATGGGACTGGCTGCGGGTGAACGGAAACAAGTTTTGTGGTACCCAAGGTCCCTCTGTCTCCAACAGCGGGGCCCTAAGCATTGACTTTCATGCCGACTACTCTGTAGTCAGGAGCGGGTTCTCCTGCACCATCACAGCTGGGCCCACGTCTTCCTCCGACTCCCTGACCTGTGGTGCCCACGCTCTGGCGGTGGGTACCTACACGATCACATCACCTAACCACCCTTCCAACTACGAAAACAACTATGACTGCCTCTACAGCCTCACGGCGGGTTCGGGTGCTGAAACTCTATCCATCAGCTGTTCTGCGTTCAACATTGAGTCTCACAGCTCCTGTGGATGGGACTGGCTGCGAGTGAACGGAAACAAGTTTTGTGGTACCCAAGGTCCCTCTGTGTCCAACAGCGGGGCCCTAAGCATTGACTTTCATGCCGACTACTCTGTAGTCAGGAGCGGGTTCTCCTGCACCATCACAGCTGGGCCCACGTCTTCCTCCGACTCCCTGACCTGTGGTGCCCACACTCTGGCGGTGGGTACCTACACGATCACATCACCTAACCACCCTTCCAACTACGAAAACAACTATAACTGCCTCTACAGCCTCACGGCGGGTTCAGGTGCTGAAACTCTATCCATCAGCTGTTCTGCGTTCAATATCGAGTCTCACAGCTCCTGTGGATGGGACTGGCTGCGAGTGAACGGAAACAAGTTTTGTGGTACCCAAGGTCCCTCTGTCTCCAACAGCGGGGCCCTAAGCATTGACTTCCATGCCGACTACTCTGTAGTCAGGAGCGGGTTCTCCTGCACCATCACAGCCGAGTCCGGATCGGGCGTCACGACTCAGCCCCCCTCGGGCAGCTGCAGCTGCGGCGTGGCCAACCGCGCCTCCCGGGTGGTCGGCGGCGTCGAGACCGAGGTCAACGAGTACCCGTGGCAGGCGGGCCTGGTCAGCCCCGGCGGGACCCGCACCTGGTGCGGCGGCAGTCTCATCAACGACCGGTACGTGGTGACGGCGGCCCACTGCACCAGTGGCAACACGGCGTCGCAGATCCAGGTGCTGCTGGGCGACCACCGCATCAGCGTCACCGACGGTGAGTCGCGTCACACCCTCAGTCACATCATCGATCACCCGTCCTACGTGACGCACAGCCAGGGTTACGACATCTCCCTGCTGAAGCTGTCCAGTCCGGTGACGTTCAACAGCCGGCGGGCGACCGTGTGCCTGCCGACCGCCGGCCAGACGTACGCCGGCGCCACGGCCATCGCCACCGGCTTCGGCCGGCTCGGCGCCTCGCGGCCGCAGGCTACGGAGCTGCAGGAGGTCGAGCTGCCAGTCCGCTCCGAAGCTCAGTGCAGGGCCGTGTGGAGCTTCGTCACTGAAACCATGATCTGCGCCGGCGGCCTGCCTGCCGGCGGCAAATCCGTCTGCATGGGCGACAGCGGCGGTCCGCTCGTCACGCTAGAGAACAGCAAGTACGCCCTGATCGGCGTCGTCTCGTTCGGCCGGCCGTGCGCCGTGGCGAACACACCCGACGTCTTCGCCAGGGTTACAGCGGTGCTGTCCTGGATCCAGAGCAGCACGACCGACGCTACCTACTGCAGCTAGAGTACGGTGGTCCGCCCGCCCGCCAACCTGAGCTGACGGGAATCTTTGAACCTGTACTCGATTGCCGTGCATTTCGTCTGGAGCAAGTGTGGGTCATAGTTTTGAGTTCTGTCGGTTTGTAAGAGCCATTTTGTTGCACTGTAACATTCACCATTCTTTTTTATTTCATGTCACAAATCTGTGTTGACAGGTTTGCTTGCTTGCTTGGCTCGCTTGTTGGGATTGGGACAAATTAGTATAACCTGTAACTCTGGCGCACCTGCCTATACCTATGTATAACCTGTACCTATGGCGTCTCCCCACGTTGACTTGGCAAGCATAAAATCATTATGTACGTAATATATCGAGACATCAAGGTGGACTACATGTTTTGCGAAGAAACGAAACCTTCGGAGGTCATTTTCACCTAGATCCAACGATGCAGCCCAGTTGCCAATCTCCACGTTGACAAATGAAACCATACACATAAATCTAGTAAGCACAAGCACGTTAGAACAACACCATACGCTCGCCAGCACGCCATTATTGTGTATTATGCATGATGCAGTTGCAAGCCGTGCGAACAGTTTGGATTGACGACAGTTTGACTGACGTGCATTGAGCCACAGTTGCCAACGGCCTAATTTGCTCTCTCTCTCTCTCTCTCAACAGTTTTCGATAGGCGGACAGAGCCATTTTTGAATCTCGCGCCCAACCCATAGCGTAGCTCGTAGGTAAAAATACACAAAGTCGCAGCCTATGAAGCCTTTGTCACTGGGCATACCACGCTTACACGCTGCTGTTGCCAACTGGCCGAGATGATGGCATGCAATGTGCTGTAAAGAAGGTACGATTCTGTGAAAAGATATGTTTGCTGGCTTCGAGGAAGCGGCATTCCTCGAAGCTGGGAGGGGAGGTGGAGATAGCCATTTGGATTACTTCTTTCCAGTTAACACCCATAGGGCAAATGTTAAATTTTTAGCAAGTTGTTTGGGTCTCAGTCCCTGCCTTTCTCTCTGGTTCACTCTCCCCCCCCCCCCCCCCCCGCTCTCTACCCTTCGGGGATCGCCGCACAGCTCATGAGCAATTGGCTGATCCTTTGGGAGGAAGCCAGCTATTAAACGCTCACTTTATCGCCCTTTTTTGAATTCAGATATGTTGATGGTATTACGACCTCGTCCCCCTAGTAAAAATTGGTGGTGCTGCCCCTGTCGACAGCGATGCAATTGGGTTATCAGCTCCTAGTAGAACACACTTGCCCGGTTAGCATATCCATTTTATTCCGTCGACTGCCATGCAGCGTTCCCTTTGCCGACGTCGGATCAGGCGCATGGGAATTTGCAATGTTACGACATCAAATTTTGAATGATGATGATGTTGGTTTAGAAGCGTATTGTGGCCATTCCGCTCGTGCCATCCAGTAAGACATGAACTCACGCGCTTGGTTTGCCGCGGCGGACTCGGCGGCAGAGTCATTTTAGCCTCATAAACTGCGGGAAGCAAGCGTTTGTCACTTTGCACAAAGACGGAGGCGAAAGCGCAAAATATCCGCGGCCTTACCAAGTCCATGACATGCATAAAAGGGAGCGCCCCACCTTTGGAGGATATTTCAAAAACATACTCTGGTGAAACCTCAGGACTAGTTACGTCTGATGATAGCACTGGGCATTGTCATTGTACCACCGTCAAGTTGTAATAGCAACATTAATTATGATTTCTTCCGAGTCCAAGCTACGCTGTTAACGTTTTGTAACAGCAGTACGCTTCTCCGCCGTCGCGACCACCGTCGTCATGACAACGACAGTGAGCGCATCTGCTGGTGCGAAGAAAGGAACGTTTGTAATCGGCTCGGCGGGAAGGGGCCTATTACCGAGCAACACATTGGTTGAAGTTTGAACCAGTGCGTCACATGGCCATGCGATATTCCCATTCTCAAAGCCAACGTGCGCCTCAAAAAGACCCACTGCGGTAAAAGCCATAGGGAAAATATCAAAGCCATAGTATAACGTTTCGTCAAATTCGTGGGACAATAGATTCATGTTTGCATATTTATTTGTCTAGAGTGTTTCAAGCTTTCGTAGCATTTATTACACAAACATTTTGATGCAGTGGTATGTTGCAAACATTACAGAACACACACGTTGGAAAAATCAAGGTAAATGTTACGGCGTAAATGTTACGGCGAGTATTCCTTCCATAATGGTCAGCAGGAAGTCAAATCGGATTTCTCTCGCGAGTCGGCTACTTCAAATCGAAATTCTGAGTTAATCATACGGATTTCGAGAAAACTGATATTGCTGATCAAATCGTACGTGTCTGGTGTAACAAGTAAAAAGTGCAACAGGGATGAGATGTTCTCTTTAATATGTACGCTATCATACGTTAACAGTAAACAAATTCGGGTGGACACACAAGTAAGAGCATGCAATGATATTTTGCTGCACGCAAAAAAAAACTCGTTCACGCCTGCAACGCACTGCACTCGGTTTTTAAGAAGCAGTTTTTGGTTGTGTCCCTCCCCCATACTGACTGCGCATAAAAGTAAGCCATACATCTGGAGTTATCGCAAAGATCAGGATGGCATGACAGTGTTAGCGAATGTCACCGATCCGTAGCGTATGTGACACACCTTCCTATCACAGATGAGGGATGGATGAGGTCCGTGACAGAATGTGAAACTGCACATCTGGCCTGGTGTTAACAAGAACGCAACATTACTTCTGCTGCGATCAGCGCCACACGACAAAACTGATATTTCGAACACGTATACAGGTCATTGGAATTTGTTTCCAAAACAACCGTCCTTAGTTATACGCCAAGCGCGGCAAGTCGAGAAAATGACACGAATGCACTTGTGAAGTATAATTTGTGTCGTGTGGCAATAAGCCCGTGTAAAAATTTTCGCAGGGGAAGTAATGTTGTATAGAAACAATGGCTTTAACGATGCTGTAAAGTAATGGCTTTAGAAGTAATGATGTTTTGAAGCGGAAATAATGGAGGACATAAGTCTTTGAAGCCTGATTTCGGTCATTTATCACTAATGTCGCGTAAGAATATTTGTAGAAGAAGAAAGTAATGTTGTGTTTGAAAGGTATGTTTCACGTTTCAAGATATCGAAGCAAAAATCAGGTATGATGAATTAAGCACACTTAAACTATTGGTACACTATTAGATAGAAAAGACCGTTCTAGACAACACAATTTTTCTGTTAAGTACATATGCTCACCGAAACGTCATCGCTTAATTGCGTCGTCGTGCCTTGCACAACACTGATTGGGGTCCAATTGACGGTTATTATGTCTGGAAACTGTGCCCACGAATGCTAGATATAAACGACTCGATCATGATATTTTTATTGGCCTTGATTGTCGCATGACTAACAAAATGTCAGGATCTGAATGGCTTTATTACGACGTCATATATACCAATGTGACCTTGAAAATACTTCCCAGAAATAAACGCCCCATCTTCACGGGCGTGTAACTCAGAAACTGCAGCGGGTTGGGTCTTGAGAAGAGCAGTGCTGTGAGCTGCACTGAATGATCTTCAATATGGCTACTTGAGTTCAAAATCTCAAACAGATGTGGAACACTCCCTTTAAAGAATAACTGTCTATGTAAGTAAGATTTTGCATTAGAAGTTAGACCGGGTATCAGCTTTTGAGGCATTAATTTTGTCCTTTAGCACCAATTCCCCATAAATTTAATGTCAGGAGACATGTTGTCGCGTATGAGATATTACTGAATAAGTTTTTTACCAGAGGTATTGACCGGTATAGGCTTCAGCGTATAGGCTTTTGTAAGTTTTGTCGCGTAGCACTAATTTGGCAAATGGGTATTGACAGTAGAAGTTATGTCGTAGCATTCTTGCCAGTATGAGGTTTTGCTGTAGCAATGATGCCATAAAACCCTATGCAGAAACCATGCATCACCGCGACTCTGATCTCTGCCTGAAACACTTCCAAGACCTGGTCGGGCGAAAGCTACCGTCAAATCCATCGTTTCACAGGCGGAAGGGATTTCGGGATTTACTAGAGAGGCATTCGGCAGTCGTATGTGGGGATCATTCCCTCAAGTTAACGTTTTAAGATTGCCCTTGGTTACCTTTGTTTTTGCCACGGTCATGCCTAGTCCTCAAGTGTATCCTGACCACTCCCACCTCTGGGAACAATCCGTTGGGCCACCACTAATGTCCTTGTATGTTTTTTTGGAGATCGAGATAACGTCTTCAGGCGAGCAGCTCGAAACCAGGCGATGCGCTTAGAGGCAGGGTGCGTGCATGATTTCGTAATGAGGAAGCACAGCTGGCAAAATTTCACTGAAATCCCATTGAAGAGACGGTGGCGCGAGCCATTTGTTGTATTACAAATGGCATTACAAATGATTAATCCAGTCATCCATTCTTGTTTGTTCCGTTTCTGAACATTTTGCATTCATTGGAATTATTCGATATAAGTTTTTTTCCCAAATTTGCTATGGGGAACGTGTTCATGTATTTCATGCGCGCTCTCCACATGTAGATGTTGATGAAGCAGGTTGTCTAAAGGGATGTCTTCTCTTTCTATAACCAAAATAGGGATCTTTGTGCTCCGATCTCAGAACTTTGATAAAATGGTATACTTTACACTGGTTCCTGTCGATTTAGAGAAAATCATTGCATTGGGTCCAGCTTTTTGGGTTGCCGGTATGAATGGCAGCGAAGTAACGCTACCTGTGCACGGGGCGTATTGGTGAATGCTGCGAGCGGCGACCATTTTGACGCGAGTATGCGCACAGTCGGTGCCTTGGTGACCCCGCTGCGGTAAGGGTTGCTGATTGTAGTCATGGCAAATTCGCATTACAGTTAATGAATTGTGTTTCAGCTATTTCCGAGACTCTTTACACGCTTTGGCAAGGTGTGAGATTTTTGTGTCTCCAGTTACCATTGTACGTAAAATTCGTTCGGCAATAGTTTGAATACCTGTGAGTTGCATTATTGCCAGCGTCTATCCTGTTCAGGTATTGCCGTCTAAAGTTAAATGGAATGTTTGGTGTCATTTGGTATAAGGAAGCCTTCGCTTCTTACGTGCCTTTGATGGTTTGCCGAAATATGCTGGAATGTTCATTGTTTTCACCATATCTCAGAGTGATGAATGAGATTGCAATGCTGTGATGCAATGAACAGGAAAGTTTCTTTGGCACAGTTTTAACCATATAGGATCAGTACTTTTCCAGCTTTGTCATTGTTAAATGTGAAGTGTTTTATGAGCTTTTCATGAAGAACACCCAGTTTATTGTGGTGTCCCTGCATCAGAGGTGCCTGACTGGAAAGACCAGACCAGACTGCAAAATGAGATATTTTTCTGAGCATGTCAGCAGTAATGTGCACAAAGGAGATCTCATAGTTAAATTTTCACCAGCATGTCAGACACAGCAGCAAAGGCACCAAAAAGTTTTAATTCTTGGTTGCTGCAAATTTAAGTGCCCTGAGTTTGATGCATGTTCATCACCAAATTTAGCCAATGGAGGTTTCAAGTATTTGTTAGATATGTCATCACAGTATGCATGAGCATGATCAGGCCATTATCCATGGTATCTGACACCAGGTGGTGGCCATGTGCAAATATGGCCAAAAATAGTTTGTTATGGCGTATGTTTTGGATCACTTAAAACAGATCACCTCACTGCACTGCTACTGACACCATCATATGCCTATCATAGACATGTTATCTCCTCGTTCATAACATAGGAGGCCAAGACGTGGTGCTGATTTAACAATGATGTCGGCCTTTCACAATGCAATCAAGTGTTTTGTCCACTTTGTGTTTATAGTCCCTGTTAGTGTGATAACCCAAGTGAGCCCAGAGAAATTCATAACAAATAGATAAGTTTATTGGTTTTATGAGTAGTGCAGTATGATATATGAACCAACATTAGCTAGCTTTTGCAATGTAACAGCAAACATGGGGAAAAAGCTAGGCTTCTGACAAAAGGCAAATATGAGGTGAGAGGGTGATGAGAGGCTGAAGTCAAAGCATGCACTAGTGGCTTCATAATTTGGAACTGAACAGATGTATCCAATGGAGCTATTTTTTACATGAAGCTGAATCTGAGGCTAGTGGTAGCAAACTCTACAAATGAAGCTGAAATTGAAAACAATGGCTTATATAGTTTTTCTTTCACAGCATTTTTCTTTCAAACCAAGTCATTTTATGTTCTAAAATTATGTGGGATCAGATAGTACAAGCAGGGGTGTGCAGGGTGGTTGAGATAGAATTTAGTCATATCATGAAAGGGTTTTTTGGGCTATCTTCTATCTTATGTGATAATGTTTGCACAGTGTTCTGATCATTGTCCAGTGGTCATGTAATGCACATGTCAGTCTCAAGAATGACTCGGTGGCTTTTGGCCCTAGCACACTTATTTGCCATAGTCTGCAAGTGCTGTATGTAATATTTGGTTAACAACACTGTAAGTGGAGTGAATCCACAACAAGAGACACCAGGGCAAAACCCTGGTGTCCAAGCCCATGCAGGTAAACATCACTGGGAACCAAAGCCATAGTTATAATTCAAAAGTTCTTGTAAGCAGGAGTCTAGGCAAGTTATTAAAAATGACAAGGCTGAAGCAAAGTCTAATGTTTGAAATGGCCCAAAGCTGGAGCAGAGGCCAGCTGTGCAAAATGGATACAAGCTGAAACAGGCCAAACCCACAGCCTTAAGAGAAAAACTGCTGTTTGGTAAAGCTAAACATAAACCCTAAGCTGTCTTTGTCCATATGCCTATTTGCCATCATTGTAAATGTCAGCCCTTCTGTTGTGCTGTTCCAAATGAAGTGCATTGCTAGCCATATTATGAAAAAAACAGTGATGAGAACATGGCTGCAATAAACCAAGGTTGAATCTGGTCAGTGGCAAATGTTGTGGAATGATACCATCACCCATGCATTCTGTCCCAGTTCCTGCTGTCAGCCTCTGACCTTGGGGCATGTGACATACCACTGGTGACATTGTCACCATAGGCCTTCATGCTGTCTTTTATGCTGTAGTTAAACCCAGTCTAGATGCATCATGACAACCACTACATGATCAAACTCATTTTCCACAGATAATGGATGGTCAGAAGTTCTGCCTCAAGTGGGATGGGTTCCAGAGCAGTGTCACCTCTCTGTTTGACCACCTCCGACAAGATGAGGAGCTGGTGGACATCACTCTGTGCTGTGAAGGCCAGAAAGTCAGGGCACACAGAATGATGCTGTCTGCATGCAGTCCATACTTCAGGGATCTCCTAAAAGTAAGTGATGGTGGTATGACTGTGAGGTCATAGAATCTGACTGCAGGCAAGAGCTGTCAACAGTTATATAATGTGTGGCTATAGCTTTTTTCCCAGGTCACAAAAAAGTCTCACAACTTGCTGATTGTGCAGAGCAATACAGCTGAAGAAGATGGACTTAATCGTGATGGTTGATGACGTCTAAATATTAGTTATCAGGGTCATGTCGTTGGTGATTTACTTACTACACATTCAGCTGCTGAGGCTATATGTTTCTGCTTGCCTCTCACTCCAGCAGAAATGGCTGGCACTGTCAGGAGGTAAATGCCTTAACTCCAGTTTCCCCAATATGCAGTCTTACCACTATGCTGCCCACATCCTGGGTTCAGGCCCATTGTCTTACAATATTGTAACATGCAACTGTGCTAAAAATTGTGAGATAAGAAGCAGAAAAGCTAGGCCATTGCCTTTGTCACAGGCTCAGATGAAGCATCTATAAGAACACAAGCTGGTTATGGGACCCAAAAGTCATAAAAAACATCTTGAAGTCAGGTCCTTGAAGGCAGCATCCCAAGGCATTATGAAATTGGGCAGTTCTGCTAGGCGTTGCTCTTAACATTATCCCCATATGTAGTACTGTGTACAATGATGTATTAAGGATCCAGTCATTAATGATGTTGATCATGGGAACTAAAATTGTGTTTCTCACATCTTACTCCTTTCATGCAAGATGCTCTCAACTGATATGAAATTGGGGCATCAGTTAAAGGCCATGGTTCTTTAAGCAGTGTTTTCTGTGCTCCTTGCATGCATTGATACATGTGTACATAGTGGTGATAATGCTATGAGCCATGTGCAGCACAGTGTCATGCCACATGCATGCGTATTGAAACCCTGGCAATGCTCGAAGGCAATTACCATTTTCGTAACCTACACTGTTGTCGCGTATACGCGTGCTCGTGTAACCCCCGTTACTTTCATACTTGGGGCGAAAATACGTAGCGTGACTTGGAAGATCGCCGTTGTGTGTGGTATGTGATATCCCAGTACCATTGTGTTGCAGAACAACCCGTGTCAGCAGATGGTGTTCTTCCTGAAGGACACGTCGGCCGCCGACCTACGTGCCATCATCGAGTTTATGTACAAGGGCAGTGTGAACGTGGCCCAGAGCCAGCTGGCCAGCTTCATCAAGACGGCGGAGATGCTGCAGATTCGCGGTCTCAGCGGCGATGACGACAAGGTGGGAAATTTCACATATGACGGAAAAAATAACGCATGGACTAACATTGTTTGGCCTGTCACACATTTTCTTGGACTATGCTGTGATCTAGAACGTTGGCCGTGATGCTTGAAAACGATCGCCCTCGCCCTCGCCCTCGCCCTCGCCCTCGCCCTCGCCCTCGCCCTCGCCCTCGCCCTCGCCCTCGCCCTCGCCCTCGCCCTCGCCCTCGCCCTCGCCCTCGCCCTCGCCCTCGCCCTCGCCCTCGCCCTCGCCCTCGCCCTCGCCCTCGCCCTCGCCCTCGCCCTCGCGCTCGCCCCTGATCTCACTCTCTCACCGGCCCCTGTGCGGTGTCGGCAGCCGCCGCCGCCGCCGTCTCCCGTGTCGGCCCAGAGGCTGGGCGCGCCGCCCGCGCGCACGCCGGAGCCACGGCCGCCGCCGGCGCCGCGGCCTGTGACGCCGCCGGCTAAGCGTCGGCGCGCGTCGCCGGAGGAGCGGACCGGCTCGCCAGCGCCGCGGCCCGCCTCGCCCACCGCCCACTCGCCGGCGCCGCGTCCGCCCTCGCCGGCGGCCGCCTCCACGCCGGCGCCGGCGGCCGCGCCCCCCGCGCCGCCGCCGTCCTCCCTGCCGCCCGCCACCGCCTCCACGGCTGGCGCCGTCGGCTGCCGCCTCGCCGCCTCCGCCGGACGGCGTCAAGGTGGAGAAGGTGGACCTGACGGAGGATGATGACGGTGACGTCAGCCTGGACGCCACGCTCGGCTATGTGGCCGAATACGAGGGCAGCTACGGCGAGCCGGACCTCTCCGTCAGCGCTTTGGTGGCCGGCGGCGCCACGGCGGCAGCGGGTGAGTGGTGAACATTGTAACAGAGAACAGATAATCAAAAACAGCATGCGTGCTTACCGTAACGTGGCTTAAAGCCGCAGACATTGACCTCGCATTTTGGCAACGGATGGCATACGTGCTTGATCCAGTCACGTGGAGGATACCAGCACCAAACGGCGCGGCACATTATCGTGACGCGCCGCAAGAGGCACCCACGTCTTGCGGTCGGGAGAAGGGGAGGGGAGGGACGAAGTAGAGCCTGCCCCAGCCGGCTTCCCGACGTGTCCACTGCGGAGCAGGCTCGGCGCACTAGATCTTCAGCATCTACAATGTGAGCAATGTCAGCTTGCGCGTGTGCCCGCGATGTCAAGCCGCGCTTCTGAATGGAATCAGGAGCTCCGCGAGCCATCGCCGAGCTTGCGTGCCGTCCGGCGCCGGCCGGTGTGACGCCGGGCTGACCTGTTCACAGCGGGCGGGCAGCCGGGACCGTCGCAGCGACCTCTGGATGACACCGGACCGCCAGGTAGGTGCCGTCCGCCGCGCTGTGGCCCGCCCGCCCGTCCCAGCACGCTGGCACACACTCCCGCCGCACGGCAAACGGCGGAGCCTACCGCCCATCAGAGAAACTCTGCATAGGGTAACGGGGCTTCGGGTGTGAGGGCGGCATTATCCGGATGAAGGAAGTAGCAGGTGGCTTGTTCACAGGCAGGTTATGCACCTGGAAGGTACTGGGCGCAAAAACAGGCTGGTCTAGACGGTGCAACGTATAGTGTCAAAGCGGAATCAGGTTATATTTCAAGCAGCTTGATATATATATATATATATATATATATATATATATATATATATAATATATATATATATATATATATATATCCACCTTGGTCAAGCGATATGAAAATTAAGCCGAAACGTCCTTTTCAAAACCCAAAGTAAGTTTAAGTCAAGCACATTAATGGACGCCTCGGCGAAACACCTGCAACGCGCACACGGCACAATGCCATTCACAATCGCGTAAAATTTCACGTCACGTACAGTACACATGAACGGCATGCCACGTGACGGCACGTTGGCATGCCACGGCACGGCACGTCGGCACGCCACGGCACGGCACGTCGGCATGCCACGGCACGGCTCGGCATGCCACGTCGCTGCATGCCGGTATGCCACGCCGCGGCACGTCGCCGTGCCGTTGACGTTGTAATGAACCCTGCGTTCGCTCTCCGTCGCCCAAAGGCACAGTGCTACAGGTCCATTCCTCTGGCGACATCTTCGATCGATGCCCGCCAGGTCTTGGAGTCCAGCAAGATATTTAACCTTGTAACTATTTCTTTTGGCACAAACTAAGCGTGTGATTCCGGAATATGCGCGTCTTAAGCACCGCATTGGTGGGTTGAGAATGACCTGTCTGGCGCCTGCGGTGGCCTGAGCGCGTGGCCACGTGCCTTTGGACGGCGGCGGCCCCCTGGGAGGCTGTGCCAGCGTGCTGGAGGGGCAGCGTCTTCAGGCGGCCGAACTGCCGCGCCGCCATGTTGAGTGCCGCGGCCATTTTGATGCCGGCAGCTATACGAAGTCTGGTGCCGTGGGCGGCTGTCGTATGTGTTGCTCAAACGTTAGTCGGAGAATGATTATTTTGTGTCCAGTGTGCGGGGAAGGATGGACGGCACCTGTGTTTGTGTGCTCGCGACTCTGTATATGACACAAGCCACCTCCCTGCTGCTTCTGGCGTGGCATGTAACTTTTTGAGGAAGCGAGGTCATCATACGAGTAAAGTTCGGGTCCGCCACGATCTCCTGGGCACATTTTCGACCAGCTAGCACTCTTCTGCTAGCGCTCTCGAAATCTGACTCGAGTCGCACTAGCTAGTGTCGGTTATAAACGTGTGCTTTGCACCATAGTTCGTGCAATATCTTTTTATTATGATTTCTGCCTCTGATTATTTCCGATCCCCCTTGATATTGGAAATGAAATGTTTCTTGCAGTGAATGGCCTCTAATTGGGTTGGGCTTTCCCAAACATCGGTCACGCCGTGTAATATTGTGGTATCTTTCGATTCGTGTGTGCTTTTTCGTGCGGGCAGGGTACGCTGCAGTATTCCCTCAAAGGTTTGGCTTTCACATGACCATTGTGTAAGCTTGGTATCAGTGCCGTGCATGCGCCGTATTGACGGCGCTCTGGGCCGCAGCGACAGGTGCGATATACGCAGCATTTCCAGTGCGCACTCGTGGGAGAGGGAAGCTGCTGCTTGAAATCAAACTTTTCTCGTCGCGATATAAATAACAATGGTTAGCGTTTTTTGGGTAGGGTATTATATTCCCAGCGAGTCTTTTGAACGCTCAGTCCCTTCAATCCTTAAGGCAAATCATTTTGCAAGTGAAGTTGCCCGAGGCTGGCAACCATATGCGCTGTCCCGCCTGAGGCGATCAGGTTGTCACCCAAAGCACTCGTCAAAATTCAAGGCACGGTAAATAAGGTCCTTTACGAAAACGCGTTTTCTGAAGGGTATTTTCTTTCTCAAAAGTGAACGGTTGCCATCGTAACGTAGCATAATCGCCATGTGGTATGTCGAAAGATCTTTGTTGTGCAAAGAATTTGTTTGAAGATCGGGTAGCAGTGGCATCGTACGGAATATTACGCAAAGATTGCCTTTCAATCAAGCTGTGTTTCATGAGTGATGACAGTTTCGACGCCATGAGCCCTCCGAAGACGCGTCCTGGCTGGACGTGCGCACCTGATTATCGAAGCGAGTGAACGCTGGTTTATGAAGGGTTGGGAGCCTCTCCGCGCTGCCCTGACAACCTGGCACCATTGTGCAACTCGGACTCGCGACAGCCCTCGCGGACGCACAGAAGTCGACACATGACCGACTTCCTTGTTCCCGATGGTGGTATTGACCTATTTAGGGCTCAAGCAAGACGGGACAACCTCATTTCGAGGACCAATTGAGTGCTTGTAACCTCTCAGAGAGGGGCGGTGGCGTGGTGGTATGGTGCTCGGCTCTGGACCGGCGGTCTTAGGTTCAAGCTCTTGTCGTGCCACCACCGCACCCCTCTTGATACCTAACATGATACCACCGCACCCATCATGGTACCCTAATATGATACCGCCGCACCCCTCATGGTACCTGATATGGTACCACCGCACCCCTCAGATACCTAATATGATACCACCGCACCCCTCATGGTACCTGATATGGTACCAACCGCACCCCTCATGATACCTAACATGATACCACCGCACCCCTCATGGTACCTAATATGATACCACCACACCCCTCATGATACTTAATTTGATACCACCACACCCTTGTGGTACCTGGTAAAGGTAGCAGTCTCGAAGTGGCCCTGGCGGTTGGTAACACGGAAAGTCCCAATCGCAGTCATTGTGAATATCTTTTAGGAGCAACATATAGTCACATGATGCGCTTTCATCGGGTCTGAACCCAGCCCCAAATTGTGTGGTGATTTGCACACAAGACTGACATGCGAGACGCACGGGCGCGGGGAGAAACATTACGCGCTCATGGCATATTCTGTAATAGAACTGCCGAAAAGACAGCCTGAGGTGACGCTGCCACTTGCTTTGCGAATCTTTAACAAACAAGAAATCAACGCACATGATAGATTTCAAGAGCTACATTGCAGAAAGTATTTTTTTGAGTATTTTGAATTGGTTACTGCGCTGCGCTGCATAGTGTCTTCCCCAAAACGATGATAGCAGAAGCTGAAACGCAAAGCATCTTCAGTAAACAAATTATCACTCAAACCTGAAAGCCTACGCCGAAATGTCTTCTTCTTGCGGTCAGCAAATGTAAACCCACTAAGCCGAAAAGCAATGGCACTGCTCAAAATCATTCGTTGTCTAACCGACTTTCCCGGCTGGAGAGCTTGACGGGTGTGTGTACTTAAGAAGTCATTTTCATCCTGTCGCACAAAATTTGGGCGTGAGTAGTAGAGATGTATTACGGAGAATACAAGTGTTTCATCCCCAAATGAAACCGTAAGCGTAGTTCAAGTTTGCGCCGGTTATGTAAGGTTTATTCCGATATAATTTTATTCAACAAATTTATCCCAAATTTAACCCAACAGGGACTTTTTCTCTCAATCCATTGTCATCATCCATGCATGATAGTTTGGTGGTGTCATTGTCCAAAGATAACGGATGGTAGGTTATAGACAAAAAGGTATTAAACAGATAAATTAATTTTCATAAGGTAATGAATGGATAACGAATTACATTTATTCGTTATGCTACCTGTCTTTTGCCGCGGCATGTACACTCGAAGGCTGCTGCGATGGATGAACTTGCGTTTCTCTGCGTAAGTTTGCTCCACTAACGGTTCTACATGTGGCCCTGTCACGAAATGGCCTTGTGTATTAGTCGCAATTGACCGCTATTGCTTTGTCCTTATGAATCTGCGAGTTTAGGGGGGAAAATGAATATTTCCTAACATCAGGTTCTCGCGGTATTTGAGAGCTTCGTGATGATTATGTTAGTCCGTTTTCATGTCGCAAACACATTTGTATCCTTGGTTCATTCAGCGGGAGGCTAATGCTTATTTTGCTTGGCTCAGCCACTTCGGGGTAGCTTTGTGACGTGACAGTCCACTTCAGTGAAGTTGCGTTGTTTTCAAGCAGCTCTTCACTGATGTTTTACGTATATCAGATGGTAAATTCGGCTTAGTTGGCCCTGCGAGTGCCTGGCTTCCGGTCAATCGGACACTTATGTTGCCTGGCCTATGCTCACTCGGAAATTCTGTGTTGATTTCGATCAATCGGGAACACTATGCTACCTGCAAGGAAATTCTGTCTGAGAACCGCACAAGAAATCATATTTTGACGTCTTGTCGTATAGCTTGACATACTTTGGCTAAAGCATCAACGTTTAGGTGCGAAGGTTTTTTTGTTAGCGTGCTTAAAGCGTAGCGCATTGCAATCTTCGCGAGCGCAAGGTAGCATCATTGTTTTTCGGTCGCGTGGGTGGTTGCTATGAAGTACGTTGACCAGACAACCAGAAGACAGCCAGGAGGAGGAACCTCACATTAGGTAAGATCTTCGCCTTTTTCAGTCGCGTTACTGCGATGTGACTCATCATGTATGTCTGGAATGAATATTCGAAGATGATTTGGCAGGAAATGCTATTACATTAAGTTCACGTTTGCCCCGTTTGAGGTAGATTTTGCATGCTAGATGTCAGGCATGAGTCATAGAGATAGATACCACGTGCATAAGCCTTATTTTCGCTGGCTGACCTTCCTCATAATGTTGCGGGTTGATAGAGGTGATAATTCTGGAGATCTCATTGTTCAAGCTTTTTATTGTGGTGTAGAATGATGTTCCCCTGGAAGTCGTTTCCATTGCACCTACGTATCACTGAATTGTGTGCACGAGGATGTGTCAAGTTTTGGGCATTTTACCCGCCATCAAATAAGCCTTGAGTTTGGAAGCAAAAAATGGACTCATTTTGGTATCTTTCCGTCCAACCATTTCTCCGTACTAGTATCTGTGTCAAGGTCGGCTTTGA